GTCCTAATTTCACCGTCATATTTAAGGGCCAGTTTTGCTGGGTACATAATTCTTGTTTGGAAAGTTTTCTCTTTCAGTGTTTTATATATACCATTCCATTGTCTTCTCACCTGCATGGTTTCTGCTGAGAAATCTGAGCTTTGTCTTATTGGTTGCCCCATGTAGGTAAATTTCTGTTTTTCCTGTGCTGCTCTCAGGATTCTTTCTTTGTCTTTGGTTTTGGTGAGTTTGATGATGATATGTCTTGGTGATTTTCTTTTGAGGTCTATCATGTTTGGGATTTGTTGTACTTCCTGAATGGATATATTCTCATCTTTCGTCATACCGGGAAAATTCTCTTCCAATAAATCTTTGACAGTTTTCTCTGTTGTTTTTTTTGTCTCTTCCTGTTCTGGAATTCTGATTATATGTAGGTTATTCCTTTTGATGGTATCCCACATGGACCTTAGGCTTTCTTCATTTTTCTTTTATCTTTTTTCTGATTTATCCCTCTCCAAAGAAGTGTTCAGGTATTTGCTTTCAATCTCCCTAATTCTGCCTTCCATTGATTCAATTCTGCTCCTTTGCCCATTTAATGTCTTACCTATTTTTGAAAATTTAGTATTAATCTTCTGGATTTCTGTATGTAGATTTTGTATAATTTGTAATTTTTCATTTATTTTGTCATTTTGTTCTTGTATTGTCTTTTGAAATTGTTGTAGGGTTTTCTCTGTGTTTTCCTTGATGTGTCTCTCAATTTGTTGAGGATAACCTAAATAAAATTCTTCTGATTTCTTTATCAGGGAGTTCCAATGCTGTGTCTTCCTCAGGGATGTGTTTTGGGTCTGTATCCTGGTCCCTTGTTTCTTCTGCTTTATCTTGCTTCTTTGGTGAATTGTGATGCTCTGTTGTCTCTGAGGCATTGTGATGTTTTTGTGTTTATATTTAAATCGTGATTGTATGTTGGAGTGACTTGCCTATGATTTTTGTTTTCTTTGTATGTTATCTACTCAAGCAGGGTACTGTGTTCCTCTATTCACTAGTTGACAGCACTTACATACTCACCAGCTGTCTCCTTTCCTGTTGTCAGCCTCTTGTATGTCCCTGCCAACCTTGGCAAACAGAGCCTATTCTTAGGTCCATGGAATCTGAATGAGAATGCTATGACTTTAAAATCCAAAGTGGTTGCCACTTGTAAAGATTCAAAATGACTGCTCCCTCAGTCACTTTAAATATCCATTATGTTCACCGCTTGTAAACATTCAAAATGGCTGTGCCCTTGGTCACTTTAAATATCCAAAATGGCTGCCACTTATAAACATTCAAGGTGGCTGCACCCTTGGTCACTTTAGATGTCCAAAATGGCTGCCGTGTGTAAACAATCAAAATGGCTGCACCCTTCAGACAGTGGAAAGTCAAAGCTCAGGTTGTTTCCCTCCTTGCTGTTTCCCTTCCTAGTCATAGACCACTGGAGCAGTTGTTCCTGTCCTTGGTGACCAGGGCTGATCTTTAGGTCAATTCTCAGGTCCCAGCACCACTTGGAAATATTTAGGATATTGGTCCCGTCAGAGTAGCTGACAGTCTGCAGCTCTGACCATCTCTGTACTCACTCTTTTCGTTCAGGTTTTTCCAGTAGTTGATGCCTAATGCACTTCTGTATAATTCCTTTCAAAGCTCAGGGCTCCAGGATTATCTTCTGTATCACTGTCATTTGGTTTTTCTTTTCTCTGTTGAAAGGGTCTCTGTCTCTTGTCTGCCTATTCCTCCATCTTACTGGAAGCCCCTACAAATGCAGTTTTAAATCATTGAAAAGCCTTGAGCCTTTTCTTATACTAAAGGAAGTCTTGGAACCAGTTCTTTCGGTTTGACCCCTTGCTCAGAATATGCATTTCTATCCCAGATAAACTGGATCGTAATCTATATTTTAATAAGCTCTTCAGGGGATTTTGTTAAAAATGTAAATTCTGATTCAATATATTTGGTATGTGCATGTTCTAAGCAGGGGCTCTAACCAGAATGACCCTTTGAAGCCCTGTAATACAGTAAGACTAAATAAGAACCCTGTGCGCCCGATTGACTCACCTACAAATTTGACTTAAATATGCATTTAGGAATGGGTATTGTAGTAGTTTTTTTTGCCCTAACTTCTTTTAATGTTTATCTCATGTATCTCTTCCAGTATATCTTCTCTGACTGTCCGAGTTGATGTTTCTCCTATCCTGTCCAATAACCAGTTGTTCAGTTTATTCTGACTCATAGTGACCCCATAGGATGGAGTAGATCTGCCCCACAGGGTTTCCAAGGTTGTAAATCTTTATGAATGCAGACTGTTCATGTTTGTTCTGTGAAGTGGCACGTGGGTTTGAACTGCTGAAGTCTTGGTTGGTAGCCAGGCTCTTCTGTGCCACCAGGACTCCTTTCTTACTCAGTACAACACTATATTTCCTTCTTCTTTTTATATCTGTATATCCGTTGTTCTTCTAGACTTTAAACTTTTGGAGAAAAATACCATTTTTATTTATACTTCCCTTACCACAGTGTCTGGAATATAATAGGCACTTAGATGTATTGTTGAGAAAATATTGAATCCTAGATTCTAAGAAATTATAATTAACTCTCTTTTTATATTTTGAATCTAAATAAATCAATGTAATGATTCTCTACTATTGTAGCATGAGAATCACCATTAATCACCATTGAAACGTTAGAAACTTTAGAAAAACCTAGGTAACTAGCCTCCAGCCTTGAAAATTCTAATTTACTAGGTATGGGGTATGACACTGGCATCTGTAGTTTTTTCATAGGTGATTTGGATGTGCAGCTACAGTTGGAAAGTACAATACTTTTATTATTTTCCACCACTAAGTATGAACATCCCAAAATCTATCCTGAAGTACAGTGCTGTCAGTAACAGGATAATAACTATATGCCTACAAGGAAGACAGTTAATATGACTATTACTCAAATTTAAACACCAACCACTAAAGCCATAGATGAAGAAATTGAAGATTTTTGCCAACTTCTGCAGTCCGAAACTGACCAAACTTGCAGTAAAGTTGTATTGATAATTATTGGTGATTGGAATGCAAAAGTTGGAAACAAAGAGGAATCATCCACAGTTGGAAAATATGGCCTTCATGATAGAAATGATGGTGGCGATTGCATGATATAGTTTTTAAGACTAATGGCTTACTCACTTTAAATACCTTTTTTTCAACAACAGAAACGGTGGCTATATATGTGGACCTCACCAGATGGAATACACAGAAATCACATTAAGTACATCTATGGAAAGAGGCAATGGAGAATCTCAGTATCATCAGTCAAAATAAGACCAGGAGCTGTCTGGGGAACAGATTATCAATTGCTCATGTGCAAGTTCAGGTTTAAGCTAAAGAAAATTAAAATAAGTCCACAAGAGTTAAAATATGACCTTGTTTATATCCCACCTGAATTTAGAGACCGTCTGAAGAATAGATTTGATGAATTGAGTACCAATGCCTGCATACCAGATGAGTTGTGGGATGACATTGAGAACATCATACATGAAGAAAGAAAATGATCATTAAAAAGACAAGAAAGGAAGAAAAGACCAAAATGGATGTTAGAAGAGACTGAAACTTGCTCTTGAACATAGAAGCTAAAGTGAACGGATGAAATGCTGAAGAACAGAAGATTTCAAAAAACAGCTCGAGAAGACAAAGTTTTGTGATGAATGAAATGTGCAAAGAGGTAGAATTGGAAAACCAAAAGAGAAGAACACACTTGACATTTCTCAATCTGAAAGAACTGAAGAAAAAATTCACGCCTCAAGTTGCAATACTGAAGGATTCTATGGGCAAAATATTGAATGATGGAGGAAGCATC